AATGTTTTTATGACTTTTGTTGTAGTAGTAAACCTAGGTTATTTGGCACACTTTTTTTACGCATACATATTTTGCAGTTTTATGGATAGGTTAATTGGCTAAAAAATTGCATAAACCACTCGTTGCAGTCGAGGAAGTTGTGGGAGTCTAAAAACAAAGCAGAAACTTCAAAGGTGTCATCAGAGTAGAGAAAATAAAGATTACTGTTTAAAAAAATGACTGTTTTAGAGCATTTTTCACAATAACAGCAGAGCTGTCTTGACTGCCAAAAGCAAACTAGAAAGCAACATAGAACATGAGAATTCAATTAGGAGGAAAAAGCAAGGCACAGTGCTAAATAATAAATAAAAACCATGTTTCTCCTGCCGCAGGTGGTGAATCGTTACTGGTCTTCCAACCACCTCAGCAACAACTCAACTGCGCTTCACGATCCATGGAAGGCCTTACACAAAAATTTGAATCAAATTTTATATTTATTCCTTGTGTTATTCATCTGTTTTTACCTTTGTTGCGTCGTAGTGTCCCCTCCAAATCTGTGCTTGATTTAGAATTTTCAAAGCTTTCGCGGTTTCTTTTTATTCATCGCCGTTTCTAATTTTCTTTGTAATTGGTCGAATCAGCGTCTTCTTGCCAATTTCAAACAAAGTTAGTGATGCGGTATCAGCTTTGCACTGCCCTGCACTTGCAGTCTCTTCCATGTGGTATTGCACTGAAATGTTCCCGCCCTGATGATGCTTCTTTTACTTTTGTCTTTCTTCCACTTTACTATGGAGCTTCTCGACTTGCTTGATTTATCTATGATAATTTCAATCTTACCTATGCACTTCTTCCCAACTTTCTGACAACCTATTGATAAAACTTTTTCACTTTTCAAGCTTTGCAAAGCAGCTTTTTGTCGCTAGCACGTGATTCACTACATTTCTGCTACTGTGTCATTGTTTGATGCGCACTGTTTATATTTCGCCCACTTCCATAACCCGTACCTTCGGGAAAAACAATAAACAAAAAGCGCATGATTTAAAGTAAAACATGTTTTCTAATTTTTTTGATAAATTTACATATGAGTAGGCGATTTGAAAATTTTTCTCAAGGATTTCCGTTTTCACTTTATGCTCTAATAAATTCTATTCAGGCATCTATGTAGGCAGCTAAATCGTTATGATTAGGTAGAGGATTTGGGTAGATTAGAAAACGGTCAACAAATGTGGAAGCTGGACAGAAAACCTGCGTAGAAAATGGACATGAATGTACTAGATTTTTGAAGCTGTGGACCCAAAATGTATTGACTATACTTTCCACTAAGCCTCATCTAAAAAGTGATGTTGAGAACGCCACGAGAGTTCAAATGAAATTTTAACACTCATTCGTTAGAAACTGAAGAAAAGTATTTTGTCAAGTCTTATTTTTTTATTGTTACAT